AAGTTTTCTACCCTGTGCTATCAGTAATAGAACAGGGCAGAAAACTTAAAAGTTTGGGGTGTTAGAATAGAGAAATAAATATGAAACAATATGGAGGTTTTAGGGTGGAGGCTGATTGTTCCTCTTTACCTTCTTCCTTCTCCTTCATGGGTTTGGGTGATGTTTTGTGATTGGGCAGGAAAGTCCACATTGCAGGGTTTGAGGGATCAGTTATTGGGTTAAAAGGGAAAATAATCTAGGTGTCATTTCTTAATTGGATAGTTTAGCCTTAAAAGACCTTGTAACAAGAGATAGTTGGCCATTTTGTGCCTGGTTAATAAAAGGCTGCAGAACTCATGGTTGTGAGACTGTTTCACTGATAAGAAATAATAAACACCTGAGTTTGAACATGAATTATCATCTCAAGTGCCTTCAATCCAGACCCAGGGAAATCAACAGGAATCACCCCAGAAAAACTCTGAATTAATCCAGGCTGCAGTGCCCTCACAGGGACAGCCTGTTTTTCCCCACAGCCCATGGAATTCCTGGCTCACTCACACGTGGGGGTCCTTGCACCTCCACTTGTTCTCGTGCAGCTCGTACACGTGGATGGCAGGCTCCACACACTCCATGGTGAACTTGGTGTTGTCAACCTGGGGTGGGACATGGAAACAGCACCTCAGTCTCCTCCTCAGCATCCCAAGAGAGGAAATAAACCCAAAATCAGTTGGTAAAAACAGGGAATCTTACACCCACCCACTGTTTTACCCTCCAACTGCCAAATGTAAGCTGCCAATGTCCTTTGTCACAGCAGTGAGGAAGCAAAGCCCAGTTTGTGACATTAAATATAAGAATTTAAGTTGCAGGAGGTGGGCTGGAGCCAGAAATTGCTGCCTGAACATGTAGAGAAAGCCTCAAGTTCTTCTGAGGTGGCAGAGAGCTCACCACAGTCTCTCTGTGGATTTACACTGTACTTCTCTGCTCACTGCATCTCCTCCCCAGAGCATTTTGGAGAGGAAGAGAAACTGAATTCCTCATGAAAGCAGCCAGAGAACTGCATTTCCCTGCTCCAGCAGCAGGGTCAGCACACCCAGGGGGTCAGGGGGAGGAAGTTTTTACCATGATGAGCGCCGTGTCCGTGAAACCCTCGGCAATCCGGGAGGCCACTTTCTCTGCAACCTGGTTTGGGCTGGAGCACAAAGGAGAAGGAACTGAGTGATGGGAACCATGATTTTCAGCTGAAAGCAGCAGGAAATGAGCTCAGGGAGATGTGAGAGTGACTCTGGGTGCTTGCAAACAGGAACAAGATAAAGGAGCTGATGGCACAGCTGATAGAAGGCAGCTCAGCTGGGTTTAGGAATGGCTTTGGAATGACATGGAATCAACATTTGGTGGCCTCTTGTCTTCTTCCCCCAGACCAAAGACTCTGCCCTGGCAGGCATTTAAAACAAACTGAGTTTTCTCCCCAGTTTGCATTGAAAACTTGTCCAAAATCAGATAACCTGTGACAACCTTCACCACGTTTCAAAGGTGACAAAGGTGACAATCTCTATGTGGTGCCACTTCATGTGGTGCCATTGACAATCTCTGTGTGGTGCCAGTTATCTTCAGAAATCAAACTGAACTTTCAAAAAACCACCAAGCCTGTGACATTCTCTCAAACCTCAGAGAGAAAAAAATTGTAACTTCTCCTTTAAAATGTGTGCAGCAGATTTATAAGGAAATGACAAATAATGCTTTTATCCCCGACAGACACCTTAGAAAATACTAATGTTGCTTAAAAAACATAATGAAGTCTGAATAGACATTAAGAAATAACTGGAATCAGAGCATCATGGAATGGTTTGGGTTGGGAGAGACCTTAAAGATCCTCTCATTCCATCCCCACACCTTCCACTATCCCAGGTTGCTCCAAGCCTCATCCAACCTTGGACACTTCCAGGAATGGGGCATAATACTTTAAACAAGTTGCTCTTATTCTAATTAGTCCCAATCCTGAATTTGTCCAACAGATAGAGGGGAAAATTTGGAATACACAGATCTAAAATTAAACTGTGGCTCCATAGGAAGGTTCCTTATTGTTTAGTGAGTAATCTGAGTCAGCCAGCAGGGAAAAAAAAATGACTAATCCTGAGGAAAAGAAGTGATAAATAAGAGCTATCACTGCCTGACTGACATAATTTTCCACTTCTTTACCACATAAAAAACTGCTCTGAGAAAACTCAGCGACGATGAAGAAATTTAGAAAGAATCAGGTCACTCCTGACTTTCCATAAGAACCTGGGAGTTGTCAGACTTTCCAAGATCCATACTGCATGAGCAAACACTCTGCAGATTTTGGCTTTTTCCCTGACAACTGCAATTCAAGAAGCTGGCACTGGTTCAAAGAGTGGCCTTTTATAGCAGCCACGGGAGGAGAGCAGGGATTGTGCAAAGCCAGGACTTTCTGCACCTGACCAAAGGCCACATCCCGCAGCCCCACGGAGACAATGTGGAAGCAGCTGACAGTTGTCAGAGTGAATCACACACGCCTGATTTATGGGGATGATTGCTGCTGGCAGAGTCCAAGGTACGAGCTAAAAGAGCAAACAGAAGGAAATATTGGCCCAACACACCTGGCATCTTTCACGCGTTCGTTCGCCTGGTAATATCCAGCTATCACGTAGCTGTTCTCCTTGCACCAGGAATCAATCTGGAAAAGCAATGGCAACAATGAATCCTAGGGGAAAAAAAACCACCCTCCAGGATCAAGAAAAAAATAAAGCAACCCAGGATGAAGGAAATCTCATGGCTGTCCTGTAAATAAAGCAGTGCTGCTCCATCTCTGCCACGGGGTTCTTGAAATAAATCCATATTTCTGTCTGCTTGTGGGAGTGCTCACAGTTGGGCTGATGGAGCTGGGATGGAGAAACCCAACAGAGCATTTGGAGGATGATGGGAAGCATTAACCAAATGGAGCAAGAGAGCAAGGAGCTGTCTGAGTCAAAGCCTGGCCTAAATCCCAGTGACAGGACAATTAAACTCAGCCTGGAGAGGCTCCGGGGCTCACCCACCAAGGGCTGGGACAATTTTCTGGCAGTGTTCACCTGCCAAGGCAGTTCAGAGAATGCTGCCCTGTCCTTGCAGAAAGGTTTGATTTCTAATGTCCCATTTCTAGGAGAAAATGCCACCATTTGGGGCCTTCATTAGAAAATCAAAGCTGGAGGTGAAAGGTGATTGTGAGGTAGAAGTTTGTCCCATTCAGCAGCTTTTCAACGGAGATAAAATTGTTTTGCATTGAGAGTTCTTCCTTATTTAACATTTCTATGTAAATGCTTAACCAGATGCACTTTTGGAATATAATTTAGACAATTTTTAATTTACACTTAGGTAGTTTTGTTGGTTCTTGCTCTTTAATTAAATGACTTGAAACAATGCTGTTCTTGCTGCTTTAAACTGCAACTGAATTCCTCCTGCTGAGTCTGACTTTGAAAATATCTATCTATATATATATACATGGTGTCTATATATATTTATATGGTGCTTTTTATTAGAATTGAGGGTATCAAGTCAGCAAAATACAAAGACAGAAGGGGAGGAAGCAGCTCGAATTTTCCTTTGCAGTCCCTAGAGAGCATGGCCTCAAAAAACCCTGCCCAGCTCTATTAAAAAGGCCTCCAAAAATACATCTGGTGCTGACCTGTGGCATCCTGGGAGTCAAATCAATCTCATTTTCAGCAATAATTATTGTATTAGACTGCAGAACCAACCAAACAAAGCAGCCATGTGAATAATCCAAGGGATGACAGGGATTTAAGTGATAGAAAAAAAAAAAAAAGCAGTGCAGCCCTGCAAGAGCTGCTGTTTCAATTCCAAACCCATTTTGAGGGCTTAGGACTCTGGTTTTAGTTGTTAGTGGTTTGAAAGCTTGGCATTAGAGCCAGCAGCCCAGGCAGTAAAATTAATAATAATTATTATTAAAAAAAAAAACCCAACTCCATCCATTTAAAAATTAAAAACCGCAGTCCTAAATCCATTTTTGCTCCCTACCAAAAATTGTCTTGAAAAGAAAGAAGAGAATGATTTTAAGTTCTCACTTTCCTAACTGGTAATTAAAAATTGCTTCTGCATAAAACAAAGGGGGGATAAAAAAAAAAATCAATCTCATTTTGGAATGAAAGCTATTTCAAGCTGTAATTTCCAAGCCCAGCACTGATCCCACAGCAATTAGCTCCTGTTAGAAATATTAGAAATAGTTTTAGTGTTAAAAACATTTTTAATGGTAGAAATAGTTTCAATGTTAGAAATATATTTAGGATTAGGAATATTTAAAATGTTGGAAATATTTTTAATGTTAGAAATATTTTTAATGCTAAGAAATATTTTTAATGGTAGAGATATTTTTAATATTAGAAATATTTTTAGTCACATCCAGTCCTGCCAAGGAAAATTCCAAAGTGGCTTTGGTTTGCTGCAGCCAGCAGGGCTGGAAAACCCTGGGAGGAGGAGGAGGAGGAGGAGGAGGAGGAGGAAAATGAGGAGGAGGAGGAGCTGAGTGCTGTTCCAGGAGAGGGAAGTGCTCCTTTGCTTTGGCTCTGGGATCATTTTCTTCCTGCAGATGTTGCAAGAAACAGGATTTATTTCCTAATAATCTGATCCTGCTGCAAGATCTACACTAAAAAGCTGCATGGAAGGCCTAAAGTTTACCAAAATTCAGTGCCACAAACCCTGTGGAAAGACATTTAATCCTGATTTAATGAAGACACACAGTGCTCTGCTACTCCCACACTGCTGTAAATATTTAAAATTATATATTTTTGATGTTTAATGGTAAAACTAACTGGCCAGGGCTCAGGCTCAGCTCCTGTCCTGTGCCTCTGGCTGCATTTCATCATTTTAGCTTCCACTAAGATGTCAACACTGCCATGACATCATCTCAGCTGGAAAAAACTGGAATTTCTTTCCGAGTTACTGGAATTTGTTTCCAAATGAAATCTTTACTGGGATGAAAAATACTGAGGGAAACTTTAAAGATGAGTCTGGAGGAGCCAGAAATTTGTTCTTTTTATTGGCATAAAGAAGGGATGGATATTCTTTTGCTCACATATATGGGAGCAACCAGAAATTTACTCTTTTTAATGGTGTCAAAAAGGGATGGATCTTCCTTTGCTCACAACCATGGGATGGTTTGGGTTGTAGGGAACCTTTAGCTCATCCTGTTCCATCACTCATTATCCCAGGCTGCTCCAAGCCCTGTCCAGCCTGGCCTTGGGCAGTGCCAGGGATCCAGGGGCAGCCCCAGCTGCTCTGGGCATCTGTGCCAGGGCCTCCTCACCCTCATGGAGAAGAGTTCCTGCCCAAAATCTCATCTAAATTCACTCTGTGGCACTGGCAGCCATTCCCTGTGTTCTGTCCCCCCATCCCTTGTCCCCAGTCCCTCTCCAGCTCTCCGGGAGCCCCTTTAGGGGCTCTGAGCTCTCCCTGGATCCTTCCCTTCCCCATATGAGCACTCCCACCTCTCCCAGCACAATTCCCCCAATTTTTGGACCATTTCCCCACCCTGCCCTGCCCGGCACCCCTTCCATCACCCATCCCACACCCCTCACCCCTGCGGGATCACCTCACCAGGGTCAGGGCCACCTCCAGCATGGGGGCG